ATGTGAAAGAGATCACAGCAACACAGCACCAGCACACGGGAGCCGCTGCCAATAAAAAGTAGGTGGTACACGTCGGGCAGGCTGCGTTCTTACATAATTCTGTAGTCCTAGCACAGGAACACAGAGGGTGGATGGAGGGATTTGCAGAACGGCAATTCCTCCCAGCAATTTGAACTCTGAAAACTTTAAAGAAACAGCAGCCCAGAGGTCTAAAGCAAGCATGGATAACAATAAGAATCATATTACAGCATTGATTTATTTAAAAATATGTGAGAGTTTAATATAACTGGACCCTTATTTTACAACTTCACACAGCAAAGGCATAATTCTTTGATACCTGCATACCAACTTATTCTGATAATTCTGTCACTGTTGATGTATTTATAATTATAAGAAAACATTTTTATTAAGAAGTTTTTCTTTCGTTCCTGGGGCCCGGAGCAAATTTGCCATTTTTGCTATGTTTAACCATAATTTCTATCTTCCTTATGCATTGCACCTACACATATTGTATACTGGTTTTTAAAATGGGCTTTCATTTGATGTGACATATATGCATATATAAATTCATTTTAAAAAAAAAATGAAAAGAATAAAAAAAAACCCCCCACATTTTTTTTGTTTTGTCAATAATAATCTACATAATTAGTTTAGCAAACAAAGTAATTCATAATAAATTATTTTATTTGTCCTGATTTATAGGGTATATCATATGTCTGGGATTTCAGTTTACTTTGGGAGTTGTAGGTCACAAAATACAAGGAGTGAAAAACAATTTTAGAATATGGTATGTTTGTCTCCTATCTTTAATAGCCTCTTTGGCATTATATTTTCTTATAATTGTTTTATGAAATTTTTTTTTTTTTAAACTTTTTACTCTCCTTAGTGATACTTGCAGTCGACTTGCAGCTGCACAACACAGTGAGCTGCTGCCAGCTATTGCGGTTCTGCGATCACAGTGATCAGATCTCGCTGTGACCACCTAATCTCCTGTTGAGGGTCTACCTTGGACCCCGAGGGACCCAGCAGCAGCAGTAACTGATTGTACCGCACGAGGATTATCCCGTCACTGGTTGTTAATGAACTGAACGATCATGATGGGATAATCTTGTCATCGGGTGCGAAGGGGTTAAGCAAGGTTTATGGTGTTATTGCTTAAAGTACAGAAGATTGTTCAATATATAATGTTATACAGTACAATGTGCACACCAAGGTAACAGCAGAAAAAAGGAAAACCATCTTACTTGTCTAAATCCATCAGAAAAATTATTTTTATAATATCGTATGAGGGAGTTCCAGCCATCCATTATAAGTCCCCATTGTGTTCGCTTTCCAGTCCTGGAAAAAAGAAAGACAAAAGTACACTGTATGAAAGAAATATAATTTGATGCAAAAGCTGCTGTATGACATATTTAAGCTCCTGAAAATTAAAGGAAGGTACAGAGAGCTTTCTGACAGTATGAGCTATTGACAAGAAATTACAAAGCATGGGTTGATATTATATGAACATTGCAGAGTTAGACCTCTGATGACTAGAAAATATAATCTAGATTTACTACAAGTACCAATGAGTGTGTCCTCAACAAACATAAAAGTAGATCTAAACCCTAACTGTTCTTTTTTGTATTCACCATAAAATCTTTTTCTTGGAGTACATTAAGGGACACAGAAATATAGACGACATTCTTGGACATTCAGGTTATATGCTGTTACCTACACGAGGTGGACACTGGCAAACAAAATTGTTGAAGGCCAGCCCACAATAACTACTAACATATAAACCAGTAAAGAGCTAGGGGTTAAAGCAGAATAATTATGATCCTTGACCTCAGGGAGAGGGGTATCCAACATATATTAGCTCTCTCTGTAGAATCTAAAGGGAAAGAGACAATGAGACCCTTTATGCGACAAAGAAGAGTAGAGTATAAGTCCCTATTTAACCAGTTGACATCCGCGGTGTTAAACCCCCTTCCCATCCAGGCCATTTTTCAGTATTCAGCGCTGCGGTACTTTAACTGACATTTATTCCGTCATGCAGCGCTGTACTGAAATGAATTTTATACCCTTTTTTGGGGACAGATAGAGCTTTCTTTTGGTGGTATTTATTCACCACTGGGGGTTTTATTTTTTTACTATATTAAGGAAAAATTACCGAAATTTAAAAAAAAAAACACAGCCCGGACGGGGATCAGCAAGGAGCTGATCTCCCGTCCTCCTCCTCCTGACGCCCTCGGAGCCGGTCCCGGGATCCAAGATGGGGCAGCGGATCCCGGGAATCAAGGTGAGGGGTCAGGGGGGAAACCGGAAGCGCCTACGGGCGGACGGCAAGAGGTTAAGGAAGGTGTGAAGAGATTTACACACATTAAAAAAGGAAAGGCTAAGTGAGGATACTGTAAAGCAACAGACAAACAAAGACTTCAGAATAAGTAGGATAAGGAGTAGACCTTCAATCCACACCAACAGATGATTTAGGGGTGTGATAGTAACAATGCAACTTGTCTGATTATGTATATGAAGAATAAGTCTGATATAAAGGAAGGGGATCAAATAAATAGGTCCCATAAAGGACCTCAGGACTAACACCTTTTCCACCTAGAGCATTTAGGTAACAGAGTGTTGTGTCTGTTGATCTGCAGAAGCATAAGGCTAAGTTCACATGTAGGCGATTCAGATGCTGAGCTGTTTTCGATAAAATTATCGGGTTTTTTGATTGTTCGACTTCATTGAAAACCACGCAGTTTTCAATGCCTAGAGATGTCTATGGGACCCAAACCGCGCGACAAGCCTCCAAGAAGCTGCTTTCCACTTCTGGGTCAGATCACACTGCTGCAGCTTAATCTACCTCTGCTACACCCACTCATTCGAAACACTCTTTGTCCTGCCCATCCAAGGTAATGGTAAAGGTAAGGAACAACCCATGGCTGCATGATTCAGCAAGCAATTAATTTGAGCAGGGGCGTAAATAGAAATCACAGGGCCCCATAGCAAAATTTTGTATGGGGCCCTGTGATTTCTAGTTACGCCCACGCTGTGATTTCTAGTTACGCCCACCTGATAACCCAAACAGCCCACCTAAGGGTGACCCTGCAGAGCCCACCATAGACTCTCTATGGTAGGCTCTGCAGGGTCTCAGGCGGGCGGTCAAGCCCTCTTAGATGTCAGCCCTGATCCTCTGTCCGCCTCCTTCTCCTCCACGATCGACTCCTCCGTCACCAGGCCCCGCCTCCTCGATCACCGGGTCCCGCCCCCTCGATAGCCGGACCCCGCCCCTCGATCGCCGGGCCCCAGCCACCTCCTGCAAAGCTGCTGGTTGTCACCAACTCAGCAGCGGCTGTGAGAAGGAACGGAGCGTTCCTCCTCACAGCCGCCAGTGACAGCCAGCAGCCTGGCTGTCCGAGCAAGATGTCATAGCGACCCAGGCGGCCTGCATGGCATCAGGGAGATGCCATAGCGGCTGCCTGGGTCGCTATGGTGATTGTTATGCCACTGAATTTGAGGTAATGTGCCTTTTAACAGTCCCGGGTCGCAAAAAAAAACCCAACAACTTTGTTTCTTCAAAGTCCATACAAGTATCCCAAAACAGGTTTCGGAGCAAAATTAAGAAACAGCTTTTCTTGCTCTCTCTCTGTCTGACCTTTCCTAGGGCCTGGTTATAAGCGCCTGTGTTTCACTTACAAGAGCATTAACCCCTTAAACATCGATGCTTTTAAACAATTAGGCTTTCAGACTTCACCCGGTAATTGTTCAATAAGTGTTCAAGTCTTTTCTGAATATTCGGTTATTCACACGGCCATCATGCTTGTTTTCTGTTGCAGAACATGTGTTTCATAATCATTCTGTCTGTACGATATCTATTACATTATGAATTGCGTTTTGCTTTATACTATGTAATTCATGACACCTTTTAGTTTTCAGTAGCCAGATAAGAGCTCTTGTTCTTTTCAGGTGGGGGTGTTTAATTACATTCACACTGGGTGCAATTGGTTGGATTTGTATGTGTATAAATAGAAAAAAGAAAAAAAAAAGCATGTGCTTATCTGTAATTTATATCTGATCTGTTGAAAAGTCATATTTGAAATTTAGAAGCATAATGTTTTTTATATACTTTTTTATTTTAGGCTTTGAAATCGTTACGTAATTCAGACTTAAAACCATATATTATATTCATTGCTCCACCTTCCCAGGAGAGATTACGCGCATTACTAGCTAAAGATATATATATATATACACACACAAGCATCTTAGAATTTCATGGTGTTTATGAAAGAAGTCAGTATTTAGGATTCAGTGTCAACTTCTAATTGCTCCAAACGCATGTAAACATAAATTATGCCAGATGCATCTTAACACACCTAGGAGCATATTTACAGCATCTAGTTTGACAGATCTTTTTCTGCATATAGAGCTATAAAGTGCAAGTGGCAGTATGAATGTAGCCTTATGCTGGCACCTACCAAGTAACTCTGGTTGGGTTAAACTCACCCTACAGAGGATCTCCTGGGCAAGGCTTGGCTAAAGCATCCTTTTTATGGGACATAGCCTTTTTGAAGACTATACGGTGAAAATGACTGGTTTTGTCCTGTACCCACATCAAGCATGGCTTCATGTGTCGACCTTATGCTTTTACGCTCCGTTCATTCTCACACATGATATTGTTCTTATGCATTCTGCCTGATCATTACCTGCTTTAGTGAAATGTTATGGAGTTAGAAACACTGTTGTGTGGTTTTATGCCAGATTATTTAATATTACAAAGCACTGGAATTGAACGCAGAAATATGAATTGAAACCAATGTTCAACTGTGCATGTTTTTTTGTTTTGGACACACACCTGAATGCAGCTGGTGTGGACAAGTCCTAACGATCAAGGTTGCTGCAGAAACTTGCTGTTTATTTAATTATTATAATACGTGATTTTTTATAGCGCCAACAGTTTGTGCAGCGCTTTACATTGTAAGGAAAACATTACAATACAATTCAAGACAAGATGGTAAGTAGCGCCCTGCCCGTGAGGGCTTACACATGATCCACGATTAAGTATGGAGTTAAGTATTATACATTCTTAGACTTAGTAGACCATTGGGTAACAACTCCATGGTAGGTTGTTTTTTTTACTGCTACAGATTCAGTATGTTGAAGAAACACCATGTATTCTTACATATGTCAGCTTCACAGTTCTGTCCATAGTGCAGGAGGGGTGTCAGACCTCATTGATCATAGGCCAGCTGACTGACATTTTTAAAAAAAAATATATTCTTTATTTTCAATTTTGCATTAAAGAACAACATAAGAAAACAAAATAGGAAGGCACATAGGAAGACATGGATAGGAGGTTGGTGGGGTGACAAAAACATAGGGAAACAATAATTTTCCGGATACATGACAGCCAATTACCATTCGGTCTTGCGAGCAGGCCACAGTGAACAAAGTGCATATGAATAGGAGTCTGTAATCAAGAATAACTAGTTATTAAGTTCCGGAGTGGGGAAGGAGGAGGAGGGGTGGGAAGGGAGGATGTAGAGAGGGAAAGTTAGGAAGGAGGAAAGGGTGTACCCCTGGTCGGCTGCCGTGCCCGAGCGGAACTCAAACTAATCTAGCACTCCTCATTGGTCATGAAGATCAGTTACGTACCACACACTCTCTTGTAAGTATGGGAGGTGTGGAGAGAAAATCACGGTAAGACCATAAACACATCCTGCCTGTGGAGACCCTAGATCCCCATGTCATCATGGTGGATGGTGATGTATCCACGTGGCCCATGTGGAGTAGTATTTATCATATCTACCATTTTTCGTGGCTAGCCATTCCTCAGAAGCCTGGATGCCCGACCCCTGCTCGCTCCACTCCTCCATCGTGGGGACTGCTGTCTTCTTCCAGTAGCGGGGAATCAGACGCTTGGCCGCATTTAGGAGGTGGGGGAGAAGGCAGGATTTGTATCTAGTCACTTTTCTAGGTACTGAGTGAAGGAGAAAGGGGGCTGGCATGAGAGGTAAGTCTATGTCCATACAGTAGCGGGGAATCAGGCGCTTGGCCGCATTTAGGAGGTGGGGGAGAAGGCAGGATTTGTATCTAGTCACTTTTCTAGGTACTGAGTGAAGGAGGAAGGGGGCTGGCATGAGAGGTAAGTCTATGTCCATGAGTACCTTAATTTCAGTCTGGATTTGCAAGGCAGTCCCACCAAATGTGGAGATGTGTGCCCAACATCCCACAGTTACGCCAGCACAGTGGTGACACTGAGGGGTAGATATGGTGTAGGCTGTGGGGGACCCTGTACCACCGGGTGAGGAGTTTATAGTTTGTTTCTTGGACCTTGGAGTCTATGGAGGAAGAGTGAGTAT